GAGAGAGAGAGAGAGAGAGAGAGAGAGAGAGAGAGAGAGAGAGAGAGAGAGAGATAGAGAGAAAGAGGGAGAAAGAGTCTCCTGCATGACGCGTGCCCCGGGATCGGGCAGGCGCATTGTCGGGGAAAACCAACTTTCGATCAGGGTATCGTATTATGGAATTATTCAGAATGGATTCCGTTAGGAATTATTCGCTTATTCCCTAGATTTCTATTGTGTTCTCCAAGGAAAGCGAATAATTCCGTTCAAAATCCATTCCGAACGAATTCCGTAATGCGTGCCTTGAGAAACCAGTCTTGCCACGAGATTCATCGCTGGCGACCGCTCGAGTCCGCGATTCGCGAAAAATTGGCTCGCGACACTCCGTTCTAGACGTATACGTAATGTCGTCTAGCTTGAATAACCCAGAGGCCGTTTCGACAATTTCGAGATCTTATATTTGTGCGAGTGACGGACGAAACATCTTTGTACCCCTCCATTGAGAACAATTTCTGATTGAAAATGGACGAACTAGAGATTCTGATCATAACAATCAGAATTTTGATCTCAACCAGAATTATAATAGATTCAACTAGAATTCTTATTAATGCAACTTTTTTCCTACACTGAAGAGACCGATTAAATACGGACGAACCAGAGATTCTGATCATAGCAATCAGAATTCTGGTTATCTCAACTAGAATTATAATAGATTCAGCCAGAAAATTCTGATCTATCTACTTTCAACTAAAATTCCTATTAGGATAATCAAACTCTTTTCCCAGTGTCCGAATCCTCCCGAAATCTCGACTGGTCACGCGGCGCAAACGTGAACGCTGACCAAGAAAGATAGAGAAAGAGAGAGAGAGAGAGAGAGAGAGAGAGAGAGAGAGAGAGAGAGAGAGAGAGAGAGAGAGTTAATCGATACTCTGTTTTAAAAATTTTCCATTTGTGGTTTTACAAATAGGAAGCGTGTAACATCGATGTCAGATTGTCTTCACAGTACAGAGACTTAAGATTCATTCACTCACATTAATAACCTCCGTTCAATCCGAATGGACGCTCGACGAATCCTTCACGTCATTAATCATGAAGTCCTGGATTTCGCGAAAGAGACCGAGTCGACTGATTTGCACGCGTGTATCGCGTGTCTCACGTGGGCGCGATCTGTTCTCCGCGCCTTCGAGTCGCGTGCATGCAACGTAAAAGTCTCTCGTTGGCTTCCGGCGGCATAGATCCCTCCGCGCAAGGGTGCGAGGTCTCTCGAGGGTGGCTTCTCCTTTTCCTACCTCCCCTCTCGTCTCTCCCCTCCGCCCCCGCTCCCGCCCTCTATCTCTTCTCTTCCCGGAAAGAGCAAAATGAGACAGGGACCGAGAACTTTTTTCCGTTCGCCATGCGAGCCCATGCATCAACTTCTGGTCAGCTCCGACTGTAATACGCGTGAGGCACAGTCGAAGACTCGCCTTTGTCCCGCTTTCGTGGTATCGACCCGATACCACGGATGACCTAGACTCACTTGCCGAGGAAATATACCCAACCTTTGACAGCCGCTCGTCCGCTTGCTCTGCTCGTCCGTTCGTTCGCTCGCTTGTTACGGCGAATCCGGCCCCCGAATCGATAGGAGGGTAGCTAATAATTACGCACGTGCGAATCTCGCGCGCACGATGACGACGACGACGACGATGATGATGATAATAATGATGATGATGATGATGATGATGATGACGACAATGAGGACGAGGACGAAGACGAGAACAAGGACAAAGACAAGAAGAAAAAGTGCGTTTTAGATAGGGTAGGAAATATACTTGAATAGGGAGATCGTTAAGTTATTTCGGTGCTGCCGACGACGGTCGGAATTTGGTATTGAACCGCTCTCTGCACGCGCTATCTTTTCTCGTCTGCACGGCGATTTAGCCAGAACCTGGTGTATTAACGCGGGGAGAAGCGACTACCGTTTATTTTTCCGCCCGTCGCAAGGCATCAAAATGTTTGGCGGATTACTGTACGCCCCGCTGTTGATGAAACTTGAATACCTATATCCCGAATGCGTGCCGATGTATAACGCGCCAAGTAACGCGTGCTGCTTTTTGGGCGAAATGGATCTCTTGAGTCCTGTCAAGTGAAATTTTGACACTCGTAATGATAGATGGTGGCGGATGGAAATATAAATGGCTGCGGGAAGGTGATGCGGAAGAAAAAGAAAGGAGAAGAGAGAGGATTCTCTCTTAATTCTCTTGCTCTCTGTCTCTCTTTTCTCTTTTTTTTCTTTTATTCCTTAACCTCTCTCTTGTTTCTTTATATACTTGGTCCTCATGGCGCTGGAAGTGTGATATTATTTGAAATGGAATAATAAATTTGCATATTAGGGTGGGGAAAGTTTGCGAGCGACAGAAATACTGATTCATATCCATAGTCGGTTAGTATTAAAGTTTTCTAGAACTCTCGGCTAATGTTAACATTGACGCTATCGCTACATCTTGCACGAATATCTTGAAGAATACGAGAATAGAAATTGATTTTTCGCGCAACGAAATAATATCTACGATACGTAATCTCATGCATCATGAAAACGTGTTTCTTATGCTTGTCATTCTAATATCTTTAATAATGTACATAGAATTTTTTTTTAATGAAATAGAATCGTAAAGCTGTCAAAGAAAGGAAGAATAAAATCATAGATCCAGAAAAATATTATTCTACAAGAAAAATATTGTTTACTGTTTTTAGATAACGGTTATCTTCAAAAAAAATATTTTCTTGATGATAATCTTAAAATATACTTGATACAAAATTTAGAAAAATTAATTATTATGAATTCAAGATAAGAATTTCGAAAAAGTGACTTTATATAATAAACGAATTAAATTTATGTTAGTTTAATAATTTTGATTAAAATGTTAAACTTATTAGGATTCAGAATAAATTTTGAATAAATTTTATGCTTGTGATGAACTTGTGATATTATAAATTTATGAATATATGAACTTTTGAAACAAATAAATATTTGCATATAGTATTATTTTTCTGCGTGTTGTGCATTCCAATTGAAAAAAAGTCTGGTAATAGTTATTTTTCTCTCAAATATATTTTATTTAGTGTTGATTTAAGATTTAAATATTATCAAATTATATTATCATAAAAACAGTAACTAACGGTTTGATAATAATTAGAAAAATAAGACAATTTTTTAATTGTGATTTTGATTATTTAACCGAGTGTTTGAAGTTATTTCACCAAATTTTTTAGTAACTATCATTTAAGCTCGATTATTATTACTGGATTTTTTCGGTATGCCAAACAATACTAAAATAAAATCCGATAGTGGTTACTAAAATATACATATTTTGTTTAGCGTATTGGTGCAATATTTAATAAATATTATAAAATAATAATAATAATAATCGTTTGGTAATAATTAAAAGATAATATCTAAAATTAATGTCGGTTATTTTTGGTTATTTTAACCAAACATTTGATCGAAATTATTTTACCAAAACTTCATGTATACTTGATTATTATTACCAGACTTTTTTCAGTATGCGATGAAGCAGTGGGATGAAAATGATTTTTGTTAGGACGTGTGCCAAGATATACGAAGACCGATTAAGGGTTAATAACATCGCTGATATAACGACTGCTGTCGAGTCTTCCCGGCGGTTGTTTATAGGATGTAGAATTGCAGTGTAAGACCCTAAACCACGGCTGATGCCTCGTTCCCGGGAGATAGAAAGCCGAGCATAGCGCTGCAAGTAGAAATAGACGGTCGTTGTCAGACACGCGCCTCGTGAAGGCAAACGGAACAAGGAGGTGGGAGAGGGCCGCCTTTGATTCGCCTTTGATCGATTAATCAATGTTGGACATTTCCTTTATTTGGGAGCTGATCATTCCCTTCGTATTCACGATACTTTTTACTTAAATATTGCAGCCACTGCTGATCGCATTAGACTTTACTGGAAACGGTTTACGGATTACTCGCATTTTGCTGAATATAAATTGTTATTATTATCTTTGGTTGCGTAGAGAGTCGATTTG